GCCCGGAATATTAAATAAGTTATTTATTATCTGTACTGAATATATAGAATAATCTTTTTAATTTTAACTCTCGAAACGTCCGCTTTTTTTCTATGGTTAAAATAATTCTAGCCGTTCTTGTTAATCGTTCCTGCTGCTTCTATGTTCCTTTGATTGCTTTAAAAAATACCACAACGGTCAAGATATTCGTTAATATCGACAGATGCCGGCAAATACGTATTAATGTCAAGAAAAATTTATTTATTCTTCAATGACGCGATGCATTTCTAAGCATCAAATATAACACAATTGCGTCAGCGTTGTTTCCAATCTTCAAAACATTCGTGACACGAAGAAGTCGAATACCAACATGTACCAACATGTGTACCAACGTCAGAGATAAAGATCGATTCCGGAAACATTTTAATCACTTCTAGTATTATACTTCAAACATTACACGGTCGAGTCAGGTCAAGAGGTCCATCGGAGTTAAGAGATTAGTTACATCGCGTGTGTGATAAACGAATATGTAATACGGAATTTACATATAAGGATAATATGTATACGGAAATATAAGTATATAATAACTAGTATATAATGTAACTAAAAAATAATAAATAAATCGAATATATAATTCGGAATAAAATAGTTAAGAAAGTTAAAATAATTGTGGAACACTCTGTGTAAGGATAATATAATATATATGTATACGGATAATATATAGATAATATGTATACTGAATACATACGGAGTATATATTGAAGGATAATATACGGAAATATAAATATATAATATCGGAATGTGCCACATATAGCGTATTATAAACGAAAATTGATTGCAATTTACAGCAGCTACTAAGGAATTCCATTGCACAACGAAAAGCGAAACTCACAGGTGTTGTACATTATAAATAAACCTTGAAAACGATGTAGAATGAAACGAGAAGCAAAGTGATAACTAGACTGCAGATTTTATCAGAATTTATCAGAAAAATGAAGTACGTCAAATACAAACGTGAAAATACAGAAGAATTTAAAAAATTTTGGTACATTATTCCCGACTGATTAAGATCGTTAAAAGGCAAAAGATATTTCCATTCGATTCATATTTCTTACAATCAACCCTTATCGCTCCAAGAATTTGACACAGTGATTTGTAGCGAACTCCAGACAAATTAGAAATAATAAAAAACTAAATTAAACATTTTACTTGAAAATGACGGCAGACATTTCCACAGGTACGATGTGCTTACAGTGAACTAAACTATAACTACAATAATCATACCACTGCGAAATTCTGACAGCGACAGGCTGTCGATTGGATTAGAACGCTGCGTAAAGCTTGACAGTATTACTGCCGTTTAATTACGTTTCGAGTAATTAGGGTTACATGACAAATTAACTCTTCTCACTCGAAGTCAAATCAACGGAACATTTAAAACAGTTTTTCCGACCCACGATTTTTCCACTTTATATGACCTAGCGCATTCTATACATATAAATTTGTGACTGATACAACAGTTCACGCTCTCAACAGCCCTTCGAAATATAAACAAATGTGATTAACAAAACCATTTTGAAAGCCGACATAACAATTTTCAACGGCGCCTTGTAGTCGTTACTCGAGTACAAAAGGTTAACATCGGCGGATGAACATTTGCCTGATTTAGGTAAAATTCCCGTCGCACCCATCGCACCCGTCGCACGTTCGTCCGCGAGCAGAGAGAGAGAGCACGACGTCGCGACGGTCGCGCGACGGCAAGCGGAGAGTATCGCTGACAGATTAACGCGGGCCGGGAAACGATCGAGTTTTGCCCATTTGGTGAACAAGTATCTGCGATCTTCGGTGCGCCGGAAGTTCGGCGCGGTCCCGAGACAAGCGTTTAATTTACCGGAGCAAACTTGGGGGGGAGGGGCTCGCGAACAAAGTCGGCCGCGAGCGTGTGTAGCGTCGAACGAAATTGCCAAAGTTGTTCGGCCAGAACGACAATGGCGTAAACGAGGTGTAAAGTCGTGGTGTACGTAGTAGCATCGTCCCACGTCGACAACGGCGACGACGACGACGACGACGACGACAAGCGTCGACGTCGGCCGAAGCGACGGGGCGACAGGTAGACGCGAGCCCGGTAATTAGTTTACAAGGTCGGTATCAACGGGCCTTTCGCGTGACGGACAACCACCGAAAAACCAATTCTTCCGCACCCTGCGGCCGCCTGTCTTTCTATCTGTCCCGATCACCGCCAACCCGCACCCCGTGTATCATTCCCGAGGCTCGGGGGCCACAGGCGACTGACTTATGAATAATGCATACGATAAATTCGCGTCGCACGCACGCATGCACGCCGGTAATTCCATTAGCTGTACCATTTTGCCGCTCGATAGCCGCTACGTTTTCGATCGAATAACTCCTGCCGGTCCGGCTGTCGCATCGGACGAAGATTCCGGACAGATTATTACGGGAATGCAAACACCGGGTCGTTCCCGTCGCCGCCTGCCAGTCTGCTGCGAGACCGCCTCTCAAGACGTTTGGCCACTTGGGGACCGGGGGTCATTGTGCGTGCGACCAATGCCACCGACTCTGACTTGGCTCCGTTGCTCCTTTCGCGAAGCCGCTTATCCCGTTTTACCGGTTCCGCGATTAGAAATTTCTCGAACCACATCGCCGTCATTTATTTGTGAAGGACGGCGGATCTTTATGCGAAATCCAAGTCGTCTGAAGCAATTTCTAGCAATAGCAGCTAAATTGCAAAATTGCAAAATGGCAAAATTGCGACTGTTGATCGTTACGCGTGCGATCAGTGCTCTGCCTCAAATTTGTTATAGTTTTAGCGAATTTATTTATCGCGGTTTGTGCATTCGCGATAATTGAACCTCGCTATTATAATTTATTCGATATCAACTCCGCACTGTAAATTATTATGCCACCGACTTTGATTTGGCTCCGTTGCTCCTTTCGCGAAGCCGCTTATCCCGGTTTACCGGTTCCGCGATTAGAAATTGCTCGAACCTCGCCGAACGTCATTTATTTGTGATTATATCAGGGCGGCGGATCTTTATGCGAAGTCCAAGTTGTCTGAAGCAACTTCTAGCGACAGCAGCTAAATTGCAAAATTGCAAAATTGCGACTGTTGATCGTTACGCGTGCGATCAGTACTCTGCCACAAATCTGTTATATTTTTAGCGAATTTATATATCGCGGTTTATCAGCAGTTTGTGCATACGCGATAATTGAGCCTCGCTATTATAATTTATTTGATATCAACTCCGCGCTGTAAATTATTACGCGAGAACAAAATTTTCTATAAAGTTTGCGAACGATTAAATGATATATATACGAAATGTATACGGAATATATATTGAAGAATAATATACGGAAATATAAATAAATAATATCGGAATATAGCACATATAGCGTATTATAAACGGGAATTGATTGCAGTCTACAGCAGCTACTAAGGAATTCCATTGCACAATGTTAAATCCTTATCTAAAGAATTTTCATAAATATTAGCAGTCTTTCGTTTCTCTATAATTTTCACCGTTCGATATTTCGCGCGTACGTTCCTATTAAAACATTTCAGAAAATCCACGATCTACGAACGCGGGCGACGCGTTCTCTAAAAAAAAACCCGATAGAAAACCTGTCCGTGTAGTACACGGTGGCGTATGCTTGCGTAGTTTAGTCACTATCAATTTTTAAGCGTACTCTAAGCCGAGCAAAGCTTTTTATCATACTAATCCCGTTTTCATAGCACCGGTGCAACGCGACTGCCCTATTTCGCTGATAAATTCCTTGCTGTTCGCAACAGCTTGGATATACAATTAGGTAGAAATTAATTATAAATTTCATATAACGTAGCCCCATAAACCAGTAAATTAAGCAGGAAGTGATTAATACGTCCGTTGCCAGCGTCATGCGTATGCGACGACCATGATTTTCAATTTTCCCGTGAAGAAAATCGTATTCATTTTCGTGCGTGACGTTTTATTTATGATTGGAAAACATAGCGCGACATTGGGCGAATTTATTACATTCCTGCGACCGTATTTCACGGGAGAAGGAGAGTTAATAAAATATCATAACCGGACTGTAGAGTCTTATGAATTTATGGCGAAAACGAGTTCGCCGTGATTTAAGACAGCGGAACGATCAAAAGAATGTTAGAACATCGATATATAATACTAACTCAACGTTACGATTACCAGTAACGGATATTTTCTGTTCCTCGCGATCCACGTAAATAATAATTTCAATTTTTTTCGGCCTAGTAATAACCATGAGCGCTTACTAGTAACAACTATTAACCCTTTGCACTCGAGCGGCGACTTCGAGTGCAAATCACCTAAACGCTAAAATTTGTTACATCGCGTTCTAAGATCTAACGTTCACATTAACGAAGTTTGGATCGAAAGAAAAGAATAGTTCAAAGTGTAACCGTGCGCGTGAGTCGCAAGGCTCGATTTCGCGTGCCTGAAAATTGCGCTTTGTCCTATAAAATGAAACTGCTATAAGTCTCGAGAGAATAAATGATTTTAGATTCGCTGAAATAGCTGAACAGCTATTTTAATTGCTAAAATAGCGTCGAGTGCGAAGGGTTAACGGTGATAGCCAACCGTTCGATCTCTGCGCGAAATAAAAAGTGTCTCTACAGATAACAAGGTGACACTAACGCGGCCTGCCTTCTGTTTCGAGCACAGCACTTCGACCGTAAACGCGTAAAAGCCGTATTCGATCTCAACAACCAAATAATCTCATCACCGAAATCCCAGAGAGAAAAAGAGCGAGCGAGAGAGAGAGAGAGAGTCTCGCAAGAACTCTCGGTAACAATATCTCGAGCGAAAATTTCAGTGAACCCAATTTCTCCGGCGAGCCCTCCCAAGTTCACTTGACCCTTTTTTCAGCTGGATGCCCCGGACCGAAACCGTACACAGAGCCGCGACAGCCGCGGCCCGGCAAGCCTAACCGGATCCGTATCATAAGCATGCGTTTAATCGTGGAAAACGTCGGCACGGTATAATTACCTTCGGTGCACATGAAGAGTATGGCAGCAATGGAGAGCCTCGCTTGCCACCTCAAAGCCATGTCCGCAATTGTTTGATGGCGCGTTCACTTTGGTACCGAAGCGATTCACATCCTCTTCACTGGATGACGACGCACCGACTACACACAGAGGCCATGTACCAGCACAACGCGGCGATGGAATCCTTATCTCGAGCGCGATGCCATCGCGCCAGCCCGGAAAACACTGTTCACCGAAGTCCCGAGGCTCGGCCGGGCATCAATCGAACCTTTGATCACCTTTAGCGGCTCGTTCATCGGGTATACCGGCTGCCACCCGTAATCCACACGCAGCGGCCCGAACAGAGGGAAAGACGCACACACTCGCGACAGCTACTAGGGGCTCTAGCAGAGTTCAGGTAGCTGGCAACCGGTACCAGGTTGTGCCTAGAGCCGGGCTCGAACGGCGAGCGCGGGTCCGAAACTCGGCGGCACGTAGATCCGTGTCACGGATCGTCGAGCGTCGTCGCGTTTTCCGAGTCGATCGTCGCGGCAGTCGGGTCGCGTTTGAACCGCCGTTCGGATTCGTTGAACTCTTCGATCGGTCCCCCGAGGTGTCTCGATGATCCGCCGCTCCGCCAGTCTCGGCCAAATCCGGTCGTGTCGCCGCGATCTATGGATCCGCGACGGGATCCGTTCCTGAACCGTCGAAACTCGCGAAAACCGACTCTGTCATCGCAGCATCCGAGAGCGCGAAACGTCGCGCTTCTTTTTCGCGCTCGATCCGCGACCGCGACCGACCTCGTCCCTCGGAAGCCTCGAGAGGGTTCGAGTTACTTTGAAACGGGATCAAGGTCCGCTATCCAGAAGCTCGAGGAGTGTTCGCTCCGGAGAGCCTCCGTCCCACTCTCGGCGAGACTTAGTCAGCGTTCTCGGTGTCAACAGATCGTTAGAACGTTTCACGGACAGATCGAGGAGCATCTGCCAGCCCGGCGCAGGGCCCGCGGCATTCGTTTCCCCGACATGATCTCACGTGCTCTCGAACCCCCCGGAACCACAAGATCCTTCAGAGCAGATCCACTGGGCAATTTTGTGCGCGCACACCGAGCTACCGCGAGTTCACACTGGTTCGCACGGGTTCAGGCTTGGAGAAGCGCGTCGAGAGATTGGCCGCTCGGTTTCTCTTGGTTGCGGTCGCGAGTGGCCTCCGCGGGCGGCCCGACGGCGGGCTTCGATTCTATTTCAACGGAAGTCTCGCGACAGTGCTCGCGACATCGTATATAGGACGACGCAACACGCACCACGTCTTGATTCGGTGGCAGATTTACCCTGACTGGGGAGATTCTCGGCCGTGGGAGCATGCGCGCTTCCGATCCACCTCCTGCCGATGGTGGAAACGCGCAGAGGGTCCACGAACAGGGTCCGCGCACACGTAAGGTCCTCCCGACACACCGACAGCACGGCACACCCACGCGCCCACCGACGAGAGAGGGCTCACCTACATCATCGCAGACCGGGCTTCGTGTAGTCCTCGGGGTGGCCCGCGTCCGCCGCGACGTACGGCACTGTGTGTCACGGGCAGAAAGTGTGGCAGCCCGTGCAAGGAGCACCGAATCGAGCCATGGGATCTCTGCGATACCCTGTGGAACGGGAATCGAGATTTGGTCGCGTGATCGTTTCAACACGTCGACCCGATCCCGCGCCGACCCAGATCGGTCCCAGTGCGAGAAATCGCGCGATACCATGAGATCGACGAACTGTTCGCGTTACGCTCGCTCCACGGCGAGCTTGCCGGAGGACCAACGGACGATCCTGTGCAACGCCGATCAACAAAGTGTCCTACTACTTTGCAACTGCTTTGGGGATCGCAGCTTTTTTTACGTCCCTAGGTAGTTGCTCCTTCGGTTTGCATCGATAGAAAGCGTTATGTTTACATTGTCGTTCCTTCGTTAGGGCTATAATTTTTTTTTATCTTTAGTTTCGGTAGTTCACACTATAGAAACAAATTCCGTGTAGTTTTGTTTACAACTGACGGTTTGCTGTCGATTTTAACACGGAGTGCAGAAATGAACGTTTTTGACATATTTTACTTTTTTAGTTTCATAAAGGCGTGATAGCGGCCGAGGCTCGCAAGGAGATACGCGAAGTTTATGGCGACGATTGCTTAACAGAACGCACGTGTCAGAATTGGTTCTGACTTTTGGGCATCGAGCTTGCGAGCTTGCGAGCTTTTGAGCTTTCCGAGCTTTCGAGCTTTTGAGCCTCGAACTTGCGAGCTTTCGAGCTTTCCGAGCTTTCGAGCTTTCGAGCTTTCGAGCTTTCGAGCCTCGAACTTTCGAGCTTTGAGCATTGAACATTGAATATTGAACATTGAGCATTGAGAATTGAACGTTGAACGTTGAACGTTGAACATTGAACATTGAACATTGAAAAGAGATACGCGAAGATTATAGTGTCGTTTGCGCAACAGAACGCGCGTGTCACAATTGATTCTGACTTTTGGGCATCGAGCTTGCGAGCTTGCGAGCTTTGAGCTTTGGACTTTGAGCCTTTTAAACTTGCGAGCTTTCGAGCTTTTTGAGCTTCGAACTTGCGAGCTTTTTGAGCTTTGAGCCTTTTTAACTTGCGAGTTTTTGAGCTTTCGAGCTTTTGAGCCTCGAACTTTCGTGCTTTGAGCATTGAACATTGAGCATTGAGAATTGAACGTTGAACGTTGAACGTTGAACATTGAACATTGAACATTGAAAAGAGATACGCGAAGTTTATGGCGTCGTTTGCTTAACAGAACGCGCGTGTCAAAATTCGTTCAAAAAATTTCGTTCCGAAGATTTGTCACTTAAAGATGACCAACGTTCTGGTCGACCTTCTGAAATTGACGATGACAAAATCAAAGCCATAATCGAATCGAATCGTCGTATAACTGTACGACGGAAAATACGACTTTAAGAAAGGCGCTCCGTTCATGATAATTCCGTTTATGTCCTTGAACACTGTTTCTCTTTTACGTTGTTACATATCATGATAAATCAAGTAAACTATTCAAAGATGCTCAAGTTATTTTGTTCACCCGGTATACACCGAACAGCGTTGGCAGTTAATTTTGAGGAATAAACGGTTCCCAATGGGAACCGAGGAATCAATGAATTGTAATAGATGACTGGAAAAGATAAATCCTTTTTAAAGCGCCGATCGGTGGCTTCATATTTTATAGTTCCGGGATGGCGTAATGTAACGTGGAAGAGAACGCAATATAACCGAATATTTGCTATCCTCGTGGTTGGACTTTCTACCGTCTTGCGGTTAGTGTCGTTATTCCGATCGTAGAATTTCTGCAGTTTTGGGCGAAGAAAGTTAAGAAGATTTCGAAGTTTTCCGATAACCCGATGGTAAGCTCGCATTTATGTAATACTTTTTGGTACGGTCTTATCCAACGTAACCAGCTAAGACAGTGCGCACAGAGCACGGAAGCGCATATTTTGGTTAAAAGTACGAGGAATGCGAGAATTGAACCTTTCGCACTCGAGCGGCGACTCCGAGGCGCCATTAAAAATTGTTACGTCGCGTTTCAAAATAATTCTATCAATCAAATTTGTTTATATTTAATGGAGCGTTGAAAGCGTAACTGTTGCACGAGTCGCAAAATGCATTGTGTTGAAAATAAATAAAAATGGAAAAATAATATATAAATAAAATAAATTTCCATCAAATGGAAAAACCGTGGGTCGGAAGAACGGTTTTCAATTTTTCGTTGATACGGCTTCGAGTGCAAATGGTTAATTAAATCCAAGATCGTGCTTGGACAAATGTTGCTCGTACAATAATTTACATTCGAGTGCGTACACTTTCGTGCGAGGCTGGATTATCATCAAAAGATTGTAGGCTGTATGCAAATTAAATTAAAGCTGTACCACAGTTGGGAAAACGGAAATTAAATTGAAATTCATTTCCTCTTCCGGAAACTGCAGTTATGTGTTCCCTAAGTATGTTCGGTATGTATGCTATTAAACTCAAACCTACGTTCACAATCTTTCACTGTTTCTTAATGGTGCGAATTTTTGTTGATTTTTTAATGCTTTCTTATACAAAATAATTTCGTCAAGCATATATAAACTCGCTAACGAATATTCAAACGGGGAAATTAATGAAATATAAATAAGAGTATAGCATCACGGATAAAAGGCGATAAAGAAGGAAACTGTTTAGTGACATAAAAATGTACCTTCCCTTCTTCTCCTCACGTATGCATTAATTATGTAATTACAATACTAGTTAAAACTGTGCATTAACTGTGCTGTTACAACTAATTTGTTCATTTATCTATCTTGATTTGTTTAAAATTAAGATCGTACAGCGTTAATAACACTGACATTACATAATATTGTAAGGAATTGGTTTCTCCGAAAGCGAGCGCAGTTAGAATACAAATCACGTGACACACAGCAATTGTGCGCGCGGCTGGACGAAGATAAGACGAAGAAGCTGAAATGGGATCAAGGTATGTCTCAATAGTTCTATATTACGACAAAGGTGGCTGGTTCTGCTCTATTAATCTTGAACAATAACATTCCTTAAAAGTATCTGATAAAACTTACGAATATACACCTACTTAATCTAACATTTGTTCTTTGGCTGTTCGCAGTCTTCTTTGTAAACGCATTGTTGAATCAATATTCTCATGTGCTTTCTTGTACGTATTAACTTCTGAATTCACATGGTACAACAATAGGAATATTCTTACCCAAATGAGGAGCAACGATGTTGACTTCCGAGATGCGCTCGTTCATTTTGAAATCGCATATCTATGTATGCAGATGTTGCATCTCATAAATCGACACGGCGGCGAGTGGGAAAAGTGCGTTTTTTGTGCTTCTAAGTTTGGTAAGAACATTACTATTATAGTCGTAGCAATCTAAGCTTAGAACTTATTTTGTGAAACTATACCAAAGATTTGCTTTAAATAGTAGAAGAGATTCTACAGTTGGAATTTTAGGGGACATAAAGCGGAGGCTAGTCCTTGGCGAAGATGGTTCTATGGAACACTATAGAAGCTCCTCCAAATTGACGACAATAACATTACATTTTAACTAATAGCACACTGTACAAAATATAAGCAAAAAGCCTCAGACCTAGATGTCCAGGGGACATACCGTAATTTCTCCCAAAATTGTTCGGAGATCGGTATTGAAACCGGCAGATCTGAGAATACTAAGTCGCGATTCTTCGGGTCTCGCGGCTCGTTTTTAGAGAAACTCGAGGCGGTCGGCGAAAAAAGGCGGCGGCCAGCATGCCGGTGTACATTAACGCTTTAGCGGCCGCTGACACAACAGTTGTGCCATGGCACGAACTGACGTTAACGGCCGCTGGTACAACGTGTGTATCGTGCGCGGTGTATTCAGGAAAAGTCGCTACGCAAGGAGTGGGGGCAGGCGACGCACGCGCGAGAGTCCCGCACAGCGGCGCGGCGCGTCTACAGGGTGGCACCTATTGTATTGCATTGTACCCGCAGCTCTGCGTCGCGTCGCGTCGCCGTCGTAGTTCAGAATTACAATGCTCACCCGGTAGACGCGCCGCGCCGCTGTGCGGGACTCCCTCCACGCGCGTCGCCGCCACACTCCTCGCGTAGCAATTTTTCCTGAATACACTGATCAACCAAAAATTGGACATTTCCGGGAGAAATTATTGTACAACTTAGCTTGATCTTTAACACTAAGATGATCTCTGACTCAAAAGAAGTAAAAATTAAGTTCGATCAGGACACTGTAGAACCGGTACAAAAAACTTTAAGTTTCTTATCCCCTTGATATATAGTTCGCCGTCGCCTGTACACGGTATGCTAATAAGTTCTGCGTATGATAATACCGCAATAATAACGAAATCTACGTAATTACGGCGTTGCTGGTTATCGGCGGGCCGCGAGGCGGCGAAAAGCGCGCAACTCTTTCGCGCTTGTTGCCGCGCCTTCTTTTTTCTTGCCGGCGACTTTAGCAACACGCCTCGCAGAGATCTCGGAGAATACAAGACGGATTTTCGTCGCGTGATCTTTGAGCGACGGTTGTGCGCGGAAAACAACTTTGTACATCGTTTAAACCGACGATTATAAACCATGATACCTTTCTTGACAAGTTCTCGTTTGCGTTCTATTGTCGGCAACGTGTGTTACACCGACGGTAATGCGCCATTGCGATGCCATTTAGTAGCTCGTTATTGCTGCACACGCCTATTTTCAGTTCGATATTCGGGGCGTGCCGAGAGCGGCGGAGGTTCGAAAATTTATTCGATCCGCGAGAGTGACACAATTCGCGATTCGACTGAAGCTCATGGAATG